AGCGCTGGGACCTTCGGTGGGGCTCCCTATGGGGCCACGAAGCGCTGTACTGGGTGTGCGGGACGCATGCAGACCGTAGCACTGGGACTTTCGGTGGGGCTCCCTGTGGGGCCACGAAGCGCTGTACTGGGTGGGTGAAACGCAGGGAGGGGAGGAGGGCCACGAAGCGCTGTACTGGGTGTGCGGGACACATGCGGACGGTAGCACTGGGACCTTCGGTGGAGCTGCCTATGGGGCCACGGAGCGCTGTACTGGGCGTGCGGGACGCATGCGGACGGTAGCACTGGGACCTTCGGTGGGCTTCCTATGGGGCCCGAAACGCTGTACTGGGCGTGCGGGACGCATGCGGACGGTAGCACTGGGGCCTTCGGTGGGGCTCCCTATGGGGCCACGAAGCGCTGTACTAGGCGGCGTGCGGGACGCATGCAGACCGTAGCACTGGGACTTTCGGTGGGGCTCCCTGTGGGCCACGGAGTGCGCTGCACTGGGTGGTGAAACGCAGGGAGGAGGGGGAGGAGGGCCACGAAGCGCTGTACTGTGTGCGAGACACATGCGGACGTAGCACTGGGACCTTCGGTGGAGCTGCCTATGGGGCCACGAAGCGCTGTAATGGGTGTCCGGGACGCATCGGACTGGTAGCCTTTGGGACCTTCGGTGGGGCTCCCCATGGGGCCACGAAGCGCTGTACTGGGTGTGCGGGACGCATGCAGACCGTAGCACTGGGACTTTCGGTGGGGCTCCCTGTGGGGCCACGAAGCGCTGTACTGGGTGGGTGAAACGCAGGGAGGAGGGGGAGGAGGGCCACGAAGCGCTGTACTGGGTGTGCGGGACACATGCGGACGGTAGCACTGGGACCTTCGGTGGAGCTGCCTATGGGGCCACGGAGCGCTGTACTGGGCGTGCGGGACGCATGCGGACGGTAGCACTGGGACCTTCGTGGGGCTTCCTATAGGGCCACGAAACGCTGTACTGGGCGTGCGGGACGCATGCGGACGGTAGCACTGGGACCTTTGGTGGAGATCCCTATGGGCCACGAAGCGCTGTACTGGGTGGGTGAAACGCAGGGGGGAGGGGGAGGAGAGCCACGAAACGCTGTACTGGGTGTGCGGGACGCATGCGGACGGTAGCACTGGGACTTTCGGTGGAGCTGCATATGGGGCCACGAAACGCTGTACTGGGTGTGCGGGACGCATGCGGACGGTGGCACTGGGACCTTCGGTGGGGCTCCCCATGGGGCCACGAAGCGCTGTACTGGGTGTGCGGGACGCATGCTGACGGTAGCACTGGGACCTTCGGTGGAGCTCCGTATGGGGCCACGAAACGCTGTACTGGGTGGGCGAAACGCAGGGAGGAGGGGGAGGAGGGCCACGAAGCGCTGTACTGGGTGTGCGGGACGCATGCGGACGGTGGAGGAGGAGGGGGAAGAGGAGGAGAGAAGGAGAACGCGGGGACCGTCTCTTCAGAACGAGGACCCAACACCACAGGATGGTTGGGAAAAATCGTCCCCAGACTATCGTCTGACTATTTTTGAAGATTCCTCCTGTAAGGGACAGGCCCGACTCAACCCCAGTCCTGGATCCTGACGATGATTTTAGAAAGGCCCGAACCCGAGGAGCCAGGAGCGAAGATGTCCGCGGGGGCCAGGGCCAGGGCAGGGGGAGGGGGAGGAGGAGGAGGAGGAGGAGGAGGAGGAGGAGGAGGAGGAGGAGGAGGAGGAGGAGGAGGAGGAGGAGGAGGAGGAGGAGGAGGATCATCTGGGGCCTGTCGCGGCTCGTCGCGTAGCTCTTGTCGGAGCCAAGAAGGCCTCAAGACCAGCCAAGGAGGCCCCCAATGGGGCTCCCGAGGCACCCCAAGAGCGCCTCGAGCCGCCGAAAGAGTGCTTCAAGACGCCCAAGAAGGTCTGACGACGGCACAAGATACCCCCAAGACGCCTCCAAAGAGGGCCCAAAGAGGCAACAACCGATGATGTTCCAAAGGTTTTTGAAAGATTGCGGCGTTCTCGCCTTTTCGGCTTCCCGACGCTCCACGACGGCTTGAGAGGCCTCCAAGATGGTCTCAAAAGGACCCCATAGGGCCCCAAGACGGCCCAAGAGGACTCCAAGACGGCCCAAGAGCCCCCCAAAACGGCTCCAAGAGGGGGCCCAGACGAGGGACCCGAACGGACATTTCGAGCCCTCGGCCCGAGAGGCCTCCAGGAGGCCCCAAGAGGCCCCCCAGCGGTACCCAAGCGGCCCCAAGAAGCCCCCAAGAGGAAGAGGCCCCCAAGAGGCTCCCAAGGGAGGCCCTCAAGAGGCCCCCAAGAGGCTCCCAAGAGGCCCCAAAACTGCCCCCAAGGGAGGCTCTCGAGAGGCCCCCAAGATGCTCCAAAGAGGCCCCCAAACTGCCCCCAAGAGGCTCCCGACAGCGCTCCGAAGAGACCCCAAGGAGCATCTCTGAGGAATCTGACCCACAATCCAGGCACGGTGGCGGGACGGACCGAAGGCCATTAGATCCGCCGCCCCCTGCTTGCAGGGGTGCACGGCGTGCTGGACGAGCTGTCAGGTTTTGGTCTTGGTTCTTTTTCCAAAAGAACTCCCCAGTGGGCTCCGGCAGAACCCGCCACCGTGCGCAAAAACGGCCGTTTCGCTCGGGACATCCTCAAAAAATCGCGAAGATGGCCCAAGATGGCCTCCAAGTCCGCCCGAGATGGTCCAAGACGGCCTCCAAAACGGCCCAAGAGAGTCCAAGACGGCCCAAGACGGCCCAAGAGGCCCCCCAGAGGCCTCCCAGACGGCCCAAGAGGCCTCCAAGAGGTCCTCCAGGAGAGTCCGAAGAGGCCAAAATCATTGATTTTCCATTGGTTTTTGAAGGATTTTGGCATTTGCGCCTTTTCGGCTCTCCGACGGCTCAAGACGGCCCAAGAAGCCCCCAAGATCGCCCAAGAGGCCCCCAAGAGAGCCCCATGATGGCCCAAGTGGCCTCCAAGATGGCCCCTAGAGGGCCCCAAGAGGGCCCAAGAGGCCTCCAACACGCCCAAGATGGCCTCCAAGACGCCCAAGATGGCCTCCAAGACGGCCCTGGAGCGCCCCAAGAGGGTCCCCCGTTGGCCCAGAAAGGCCCCCAAAACGGCTCCCGACGGCGTCAGACGTGCCAGGAACCCACCAAGATGGCCGAAGTTGGCTCGAAGCTGGCCCAAAAGGGCCCAAGAGGCCCCCAAGAGGGCCTCCAGGAAGGCCAAAAGATGCCAAAATCACTGATTTTCCAAGGTTTTTGATGGATTTGGGCATTTCCCTTCTTTCGGCCTTCCGACGGCCCGAGACGGCCCAAGAGCCCCCAAAGATCGCCGAAAGATCGCCCAAGAGGCCTCCAAGACGGCGACGATGACCATCAAGACGCCCACGTGTTCCCCGAAGGCTTTCCAAACCGATTCGGGGAACACATGGTCCGATGGCTTGGCAGGTCTGGCCTCAACGTTCGGCCACATAGGCGCTTCCACAAAGGCAGGGGGCGGCGGTGATTCGCCGTAGGCGTCTTCGATACTTCGCGGTGGGCAGCCCGGATACCTTGCGGTCCATGCTGTCCTCGGACAGCGTGGTGGCGATCACGCGCGAGCCGTTGAACTTCGGGTCCGTGAAGACGCGCGACCGCATCTGGTGCAGCTTCCTGGACAGCTCGGCCTTGTCGAGAGTCTCGACGGGGATGCCGTAGCGCTGCAGGATGGGGTCGTTCCGGGAGGCTGTCTGGTCGAGGGCGACGAAGAAGCCGTCGCTAGTCTCGACCTTGATGACCTGCACCTCCTTCGTCGGGACGGCCATGGACGCCTGGTACATGGCGTCGCACGTCGACCTTAGAGCCTTCGTGAACTCCTCGGGGCTCTGGTCCAGCCTGAGGCCCTCAAGGAAGGCGCGGCCGAAGCTCGCCACCATGCTCACGTTCATCTCCAGGGTGCGGCAGGCCTCCGCGAGCCCGAGGCCCCCGGACAGGCCCGTGACGCGCATGGTGCAGGGGTGCCCGATCAGGGGCAGGAAGATGTTGGGCTCCTCCCGCGAGGCGCAGGCGTGTCCATGCCCACCGCCGGGGGGGCAGACGCCCCCGTGGGCCCCCCCGTGGGCGGTGGCCGTGGACATGCGCGCTGGCCCTGCGGGGGCCCGAAGCTGTCCACAGCCACCGCCTGCCGAGGCCCCTTCTTTAATGTATTTATTTATTTATTTATTCATTTATTTATTTATTTATTTATGTATTTATGTATTTATGTATTTATTTATTTATTAAATTATTTAGTTATTTATTTTTTATTTACTTATCTACTTATTGATTTATTTCTTTATGTATTATATATATACACTTAATTGTTTTATACCCCAGGCGGTGGCCGTGGACAAGCTCACGCCTTGGCTCCTCCGGAATCGAGAGGTCGAGGATGACCCTCTCCTCGGCCTGCAGCTCGCCCAGCGCCTCCAGCAGCGTGTCCGCCAGCAGCCGCTCGCAGACCTCCTTCTGGCTGGCGTCGGGCCGCACCTCGACCTGCAGGCACGCCGCCAGGCCCTTCTGGATCACCCGGCGGGCAAACTCGAACTGCTGCTTCACGGCGGACCGGATGCCCTTCCTTTGAGAAGGGAACACACTTAGAGAGAGGAATGCAGTGGGGGCGTTGACCTAAGGAACCCTGAATAAGGAACGGGGCCCCTTTCTCCCATAAGTTGACCTTCGATTTCCCATGGAAAACCTCAGATAAAACGGAAGGCAAACCGTCGAACAATCAAGGAACCCCGAGCCCCTCCCCAACGAAAAGGGTTCCTTCTTCAGGGCCCCGGCTGTACGGTGAGGGCACTGGATAAGGAACCAGTGGATGAGGAAATCGAGGGTCTGGGAGCTGGGGGGAACACCATCTGAGGCCTGGCCGTGGCTATCACCGCCGCCCTCATCAGGTAAGGAATCCTCCAGGGACTCAAGCCTCCTGAGCACGTTCCTTGAGCACCGCCATGCAACGGCATGTGGCACGAGCGCGTAAGGGTGACCCTGGGCAAGAGTGACCTCTGGTGCGCGGCTTTGAGCGGGCGCGACGGGGCCAAACCCAAGCGCGCAGGCGGCTGCGATCGCATCGCGTTCAGCCATCTCGGGACCCCAGTGCACCCGCACCAAGCCTAGACATCCGACGTTTCGATTTTTTCGAAACGCGGGCCCTCGACTTCTTCCCTGGGACCGATTTTTCATCCCGAGTCGTTTTTTGGCGGTCCCGAGGCCCGGCGAGGGCCCCGAGAGGCCAAAAAACCAGAAAAACCTTTGTCTCGATTTTTTCAAGGCGCCCGATGTCTGGGAAAGTCACTCCGGCGAGAAAGGTCACTCGTACGTGTATTCGAGACCGTCGCAGGTCCGCGGGGATTTCTCGGATCGGCGCTGGACCCTCCTCTCCGGCGCGCGGAGCGCGCCAGGAGCGCCTGGCCCACGGGCAGATCCAAGAAGTCCGCGCGGACCTCCGAAATGGTACAGTCGGGCTGTATTGTCGGGTCGGGCGAAAGGGGGGGATAGCAAAGGGGGGGGTTGAGAATCAGCTCACGTAGCTGATTTTCCCGGCGCCTCCCGGCGCTGGAGGCGGCTGTGTATCGAGGAATGGGCTCCTCGGTGAGGCCGAAACCAGCTGCATGCAGCAAATTTCGTAACCCCCCCTTTCCCAATCCAATCCCCCCCTTTCGCCCGACCCTTTATGGGAGAGGGCACGCGAGCGGACACGCCCAGAGATCCGACGCTCCGATAAAATGGGAGCGGCGGGCTTCTGGCAGTTGGCGGCCTCCAGGGGCCATCGCCGGGCCTCGGGGCCGTCGAGAACGAGTCAGGACGGGGAACCAGCCAGGGGGAAGTGGCCCAGACCTCCAGGGCCCACGCACCGGAAAGACTGGAGCAGCCGAGTGTCTGGGCAAGACTTAGGCTGGGCATGTCCTCCTACAGGGGGACTGTGGGCGAAAAATTAAAAAATAGCTTAACACATACGCAACAATAGCCAAAACATGATCAGACATCGTCCCCAGACCCCAGACATCCGCCCTCTCGATTTTTTCGAGATGCGGGCCCCGACCTCCCGAACACTTCCCTGGGACCGGTTTTTCACCCCGAGTCGTCTTTTGACGGTCCCGAGGCCCGGCGAGAGCCCCGAGAGGCCCAAAACTATGAAAAACCTCCGTCTCGATTTCTTCGAGACGCCCGATGTCTGGGACTATTTTTGCTTTTGCTACTTTGCACACTCCTCCTGTAGGGGGCAGGCCCGACTGAAGGCGAGACCCTTCTGAGGGCCACGCTGCCCCAGGGAAAGGAGAGAGAGCGAGGACACGGGCCGCGAGCACACAGGACACGAGGGCACCCCTTGATCTGGAAGGGTCGCCCTGTTCCAGAAGGGAGGAGGAGGAGGAGGAGGAGGAGGAGGAGGAGGAGGAGGAGGAGGAGGAGGAGGAGGAGGAGGAGGAGGAGGAGGAGGAGGAGGGAGGAGGGAGGAGGGAGGAGGGAGGAGGGAGGAGGAGGAGGAGGAGGAGGAGGAGGAGCAGGAGGAGGAGGAGGAGGAGCTGGAGGAGGAGGAGGGGGGGCCCGGGGAGCCTCCCCGTCCACAAGAAGCCTTCCACAAGAAACCCAACCCTGAGACCCCAGGGCGTGCACTGACTTTTGGTGTGGGGACGCCGCGCTCTCCACGGCAGAACCATCAAAGCCCAAGAAGCCCAGGGCACGTCCACAAGAAACCTTCCACAAGAAACCCAACCCTGAGACCCCAGGGCGTGCACTGACTTTTGGTGTGGGGACGCCGCGCTCTCCACGGCAGAACCACCGAAGCCCAAGAAGCCCAGGGCACCCTGGAGGCAAGCAGGGTGCTTCTCGGCACGGGCCTCCGCTGCAATCAAGCCCGACTGCGTGTTCGTGCCGTCTTTTCTTCTGCGGGCCGCGAGCACACGAGACACGAGGGCACCCCTGATCTGGCAGGGTCGACCTGTTCATCAATTGGCGGCGCGCACATGGGGGTGCAGGGAGGGGGGAGGGCCTCTTAGAAGGAGGCTGCTTCTTAGGAGGCGCCGGCCCTACATCTACAGATACGACCCGCGCCTTCTAAGAAGCAGGGTGCTTCTCCGCAGCCCTCCCCCCTCCCCCCACCCACCCCTTCGCGCGCGGCTGGGACCTGCTCGTCGAGCCCGACTGTGTGTTCGTGCCGTCTTCTCTTCTTCGGGCTCCTTTATGGAATCCCGAAGCGGTGCGGTGACAGACCGTGCGGTGACCTCGAAATCCCCCAAGACTTCAGGCGGGCGTGTCCCCCTACAGGGGGATTTTCGACGAAAAATTAAAAATACCCCCACAATGATCCCAAATGGTCAAAACAAATTGTAAAAAATAGTCCCCAGACTATTTTTTTACTATTTTTGAATATTCCTCCTGTAGAGGGACCAGCCCGACTTAACCCAAGACCTCACCGCACGGTCCGTCGACGCACGGCTTTGGGGCTTCGGATGCCCCGGTCGCCCGAGACGCCTTCCTCGGAGAACGGCCCGAGCCCCAGGACCGTGCGGTGACCCCGGAATCCCCACCGACTCACAGCACGGTGTGGTCACCGCCCCGTTTGGGGGCCCCCGGAGAGCCTCCGAAGCGAGCGCCGACCTTCTGAGATCCGGGGATGCCTGCGGGCAAGGGCGCGGGGCCGGCAGGGGGAGGCGGCCAGCACGACGGCGAGGAGGAGGAGGAGGAGGAGGAGGAGGAGGAGGAGGAGCAGCAGGAGCAGGAGGAGGAGGGGGGGCAGGAGGAGGAGGGAGGAGCAGGAGGAGGAGGAGGAGGAGGAGGAGGAGGAGGAGGAGCAGCAGGAGGAGGGGGGGCAGGAGGAGGAGGAGGAGGAGGAGGAGGAGGGAGAATCGGCAGCGGCTTCAACATCATGAAGGTAATTAGTGACGAGAACCCAGCACGCGGAGCACCGCATCATCCAGAAGGCCCTCCTCGGTGGTGAGCGCGCCTGCCCCTCGGCAAAAGGGCTGGGGGGTGACGGCGGCCGCCGTTGGGGGAAGAGGAGACGGGCTCCCTCTGACAAGGGGGCCCGCCGGCGAGCTCGAGGCCATCGGAGGCCTTCGACTCCCCCCTCTCATTCCAGCGCCCTGGAGGCTTCCTCCCCTCTCCCCCTGGCCTGGCCTCGGTTTCGTCTTCGTTGGCCTCGCCCTCCCCTTTCATTACGAGCCCTGGAGGCGTCCTCCCTCCCCCCTCTGGCCTGGGCGGGGTCCGTGCGCGCGCTGCGCGTTCGGCCTCGCATTGCGCGCTCGTTTCGCTCGGCGTCGGCGCGATCGGTGCGTGCTCGGCACGCGTCCGTGCGCGCATGCTCGGGCGCCGCGGGGCCACGCGGAGACCCGCGAGCGGCCCGCAGCGGCAGGAGGAGGAGGAGGAGGAGGAGGAGGAGGAGGAGGAGGAGGAGGAAGGAGGAGCAGGAGGAGCCCCCGGTCCTGTCGGCGCCGCCGATGCTGCACCGCGTCTTCACGGCGAAGACCTGCGCGCGCACCGCGCCGTCGAGCAGGTCGTCCGCGCCGTCCGGGACCTCCATCAGCTGGACGCCCTTCCTCAGGGGGGCCAGCCCGTGGCCCATCCGGAGGATGGGCACCACCTGGGCGACGACAGGGCGCGGGCCTCCTCGAGAAGACTTGGCGACTCCTGCTCCTCCTCCTCCTCCTCCTCCTCCGCCGCCTCCTCCGCCTTCTCCTCCGCCTCCTCCGCCTCCTCCCTCCGCCTCCTCCTCCGCCTCCTCCTCCTCCTCCTCCTCCTCCTCCTCCTCCTCCTCCTCCTCCTCAAGCCACCTAGGCCCAAGCATTTTGTTTGTGCCGACTCTTGTGCTTGCTCGGAGCGCTTGAGGCACAAAGAGCAGAGCCCATTGCGGAGGCCAGTCATCTGTGACAAAAGCAAGAGTGTCAGTCCACGCTCTTTCCCTGCCATGGCTTTCTTTGAGCGTAATGCGCGGCTGTGGAGCCGCTGCCAGTGCGGGAAGTGTGAATGGAATGATGTGATCACCCGTGGGCAGGGCATATGCACCAAGTGTAAGCGCGAGGTGACCCTGTTCACCCCCAAGAAGAAGAAGGGGGGCCTCCGTTCCAGATCGCAATCGCCAGGGAAGGTTTCGTTTGCCGACGAGGCGGAGGTGTGGGACTTCGAGGAGCAGGAGCCCGACCAATGCAGCTCTCAGAAGGGCCCGTGGTCCAAGGCCAGCTCCACGATCGACCACCTGATGGAGGCCATGAAGAGCACCAATGACCAGGAGCTCAAGATGGCGTTGAAGAATCGGATTGAATTGCTGAAGAAGGTCCCTGCGGTATCAGAGCCGCCCCCTCTGCCGCCGACAGCTACAAGAGGGCGGAGGGCCACTGGAGGGATTGCAACCACAAGCATGACCAGTGCGTGGCCAACGTGTGCCGTCTTCGCACGTCCTTGGCCACGGCAGAGAGTAAGGAGGAGGCGGCTGCGGAGGCTTTGGCAGCAGCCGCAGTCGCCAAGACGCGGGCAGCTGAGGTGCTCGCACGTGCTGAGGGCCTTGGTGGAGAGCAGCGGCCGCAAACTGTTCCAGAGGCCAAGGCACCAGAGGCTTTCACCGTCTCGTGGGACTCCAGCCTGTTCGACGACTTGGACAATTTGGAGTGTGAGGAGACGGAGAGGCAGGAGCTCAAGCAGATTCACGCCACCTTGTTGCAAATGCAGGAGGGCTTCCAGGCGAAGAACGCTGAGGTGCAGTCTTGGCTTGCGAAGGCTGCGAAGTCAAAGGCTGAGATCGCCAAGAGGTTGGCGGCCAAGAGGAGGAGGGTCGACAACTCTGAGGAGGGCGACGACGAGGGCGACGGCGTGTCTGAGGCTGCCGAGGCAAGCGGCGCTGGCGCGACGGCAGGCGGCGACGGTGGCGCGGGCAGCCGTGCAGGTGGCCCAGCGCCGCCAGCGGCGGCGGAGGCCCCGTCTGCAGTCGACCCCGCGGCGGCGACCGCCGAGAAGGAGGCCGTGCGCGCTGAGGCGGCCAAGATCTCGGCGGCCAAGTTCGCGGCTGCTGAGGCTGCGGCCCAGGCCAAGGCCAAGGGCAAGGGCCAGGATGGCGCTGCCGCGGCCTGACGGTCAGCGCCTGCGGCCCCGCCCCGCGATCAGCTTCGCCCAGAGGCGGAGGTGCAGGCGCCAGTTTTGTCACTAGATTCGAGCTCGTGCGAGAACGAGCCCGTCTCCAACATCTTCTTTGCGAGCGTCACGGCCATGGGTGACCGTGCGTGGACTCATTATCTAGATCTGTCAGCCAAGTTCGATATCTTGGGATGTGCGGAGACTCACGTGGGGGCGAGTCAGATGCGCGCATGGGAGAGCAAAGCTCGGCAGAAAAAAACTCAGGTTGATTGCTAACGCTGCCCGACCATCAGGACGGGGCAGCCAGGCGCAGGAGGATCGTGCCAATGAAGGAGGAGAGTGGGTACTCGCACGGGGCCACCTTCATGTCGAGCCGATCGCGGAGGCCAGGATGACGGGCGCGCTCAAGGCAGACGGCAGCGACGCGCTGGATGGGTTCACCGCGTCGGTGCTGCACTTTCGGGGCTTCTCGATGGTGCTGCTGATTGTCTACTGTTTCTCATCTATTGGCCTCGCTGGCAAAAATATTTCAAGGTTGCACAAGATTGGAGGGCTGTTATCAGCCTTGCAGCTGCCGTGGATATGCTTGGGTGATTGGAACATGGAGCCAAGTGTTCTTTCTCAGAGTGGTTTTCTACGACAAGTTCAGGGACGAGTTGTGACTCCTGGCGTACAGGTCACGTGCGACTCGAGTGCGCAGGGCAGCCTGATCGACTACGCGGTAGTCTCCGAGGCCTCCCTGCCGTACCTCATCAAGCTGGAGGCCGTCATGGACGTGCCCTGGCGCCCGCACATAGGATTGGCTCTTTCCATACGTTCTTCTGGCCTTCAGCTTCTGACACGACGGCTAGAGTGTGCTGGTAGATTGCCCCAGGTTTCCCGCCCGATGGTGAAAGCGACCCCAGGATCCAAGGCCTCGGTGGCCAAGAAGAAGCAGGCGGCGCAAGCTGCCATTGCCGCGGGAAAGCGTTCTGAGAACTATCTGAGTCTCTTCGGGGACGCGTTGAATTCACAAAATGCTGGTTCTGTTTTTGTTGAAGGCCCTTCCCAGGACGAGGAAACCGACGTCCCTGGTGAGGGGGCCCCCCTTCCTGAATTTGAAGACGAGGAGGAGGATCCGTGGGCCAATGAGCCTAACTTTGGCGGTCCGTCCAGGCCTGATGAAAATGCTTGTGCGCTTGAATCCATCGTTGTCAATTCGGGGGTCTGTAGCTCTGGCGTGTCAGGTAGTCAGGTGAATGGTTACCCCACCAGCCACAGGGACCCCCCCCCCAGCCACAAGCAGTGGATCGGTGAGCCAGGTGGAGCCTGAACCCTCGGAAGTGCCACAAGAGAAGGTCGAGCCTAGCTTCCTCATCCCTGAAGATGTGTGGGAGCAGCACAGGCCCCTGCATCAAGGGGACGTTGCCCCTCCTGCCCCTGCTCACTTTCTCAACTCCGTAGCCTTTCGGCTCAATCCTGGCCATGTTCATTTCGTGAGCTCATGGTTTTCTCAATGGGTCAACACTGTCGAGGATGTCATTTATGCTCATCATCAGGTCGTGCCATCTGGGGGCCCTCGACGGGGCACTGGATGTTCTTTCGTGGAAGAGTCAGTCAAGCAGAGCTCGCGATCTAGAGCTGCTCCTTTGAGAGATCAAGTTGCATGCTGGTGGAAACGTGTTGCATCTATCCTCTCGCAGTTCGAGCGGCATCGTGGGCGAGATAATGGTCGGTCCCAGTTGGTTCAGTTGCAGCAAGCAGCCAGGCACCTTGCTACCGAGAAGCCCGATGGAGTTGACAAGATTCTGTTGAGCCAAAAGGATGTTGGGATTCAAGTCTGGACGGGTTTGCTCCTGAACTTATCTGACACGCGTGATGTGGTGATTGCTAGTTTTCAACAACAGGCGGACAAGCTCTCTAAACGCGCTCTGCGACGGGCGGTGCGAGAGTCTATGTGTGAATTTCGGTCTTGGATTACTTCTCAGGAGGCCCTGGGAACGCTGCGCAGGAGTATGCGAGAAGAACCGCTACCAGTCGAGGAGGTTTGGTATGGCAGTACTGTTTTGGTGCACCCCAAGGATCTCTTAGACCGTAAGGGTAAGCTAGGAAGGAGCTCTGGACATCTGCAGGTCGACGCGGAGGCTCGACGTGGAGGTGTCCTGCCGAAGCGTCAGAGCCGAGCGGTCGACGCGGAGGCTCAGTGCCATGTTTTGCCGAGGCGTCAGAGCCGAGCGGTGGGCGCTCCTCGAACCCAACCGTCTCTCAAGTTGCTAACGTTTTGTCGGGGGCCTCTCAGGCCACGCCATGTTTTGCTGAGGCGTCAGAGCCGAGCGCTGGGTGCTCCTCGAGCCCATGCGTCTCGCAAGTCGCCAATGTTTTGCCGGAGGCCCCTCAGGCCAAGCCATGTTTTGCTGGGGCGTCAGAGCCGAGCGCTGGGTGCTCCTCGAGCCCATGCGTCTCTCACGTTGCCAAGGTTTTGTCGGATGCTCCATGTGCTGCGTCGGCAGGGTTAGAACGCATTGGGTTTGCTGGCGCTTCTCAAGAGGAACGACTTGCCGAAGCCTTTGCTGCCATCAAGGAGGCGGCGCGCGACGGGCCCATGAGCCCATCACCGCGGATCAAGTGCGTGGTATGGCTCACCGCATGCGTGGCAAGACAGGACTAGGCGCAGATCGTCTCTCTCCGCTCGATGTGGAGCGGCTTCCGCAGGCTGGCCTTGAGGAGCTTGCGGAGCTGATGAACGTATGCGAAGCTACACTCACGTGGCCTCATCAGACGCAACTGGTAATCGGCAAATTGTTACCGATGAAGGTGGAAGGAGATCGGGTTATAGGGCTCATATCGATGATAGGTCGTATTTGGTCGGGTACCCGTGAACAGCAAGTCAGAGATTGGTGTAGTCTTGTGGAGACGGAGTGGGATGCAGCCATACAGGGTAATAGTTCTTTGGTGGAAGCCTTCCACTGCGCGTTGGCTGACGAAATTGCGGGGTGGATGAAGCTTCCGACGGGGCACGGTATGTTAGATATTAAAGGGTTCTACGACGGCATCGAATGGGATCTCTTGGTGTTTGCGGCTCTTCGCCTGTGATTTCCTCCAGTAGTATTATATATGGAATTGACCCAGTGTGTTGCGGCGCGCACGTTGGAGCAATTCGGAGCTGTATGCGAACCATTCCTCGTTGATCGTAGTATTATCCAGGGGCTCAGGTCGGGCACCAGATCCGCGAAGTGTATGACTCATTATGTTATGGCTCGTATCTCTCGTACCCATCCTGCTCTCGGCCATCGTATATGGATCGACGACTTGTCGCAGAGGATGTCTGGGTCCAGGCAGTCGGTCGTCAAGGGGGTCACTGCGTGTCTGGGGGCCACCTTTAATGAGCTGGCTAAGTGGCACTTGGATGTCTCGCCGAAGTCGATCGTGATTTGTTCCTTCCACGGGGATGCCAAGGAGATCGCCAAACGTTTGAAAGTTCAAGGTTTCACTGTTCGGCCGCAACTTCAGGGAGCTTATCTCGGGATTGACCAGGGAGGAGGCAGAAGGACGGCTTGGGCTACGCGCACTAAGAGAGTGGCCAAGCACGGTCGTACGCATGCTCGCGTCGTTCGGTATGCGCGCGCTTCACGTCAATATACTATCACGTCCAGGCTTGAACGGCTCGGAGCACAGGCAGCAGGCAACTACGGGCAGGAGCTCCACGGCACCTTCGGCCAACGTCTTGTATCCTTTCGTAGGAGTTTGGCTGCCGCTGTTTCGTCTGGGGGCCGTGGTCGGTGTCTGGCGTCCACGCTTGCCATTAAAGCGCCTGGGCTGGATCCTGGAATCAGGTACCCTCAGCAATCCTTGCACCTCTGGCTCCAGCAGTGGTTCGCCCGTCCAGAGATTCGAGGACGTGTGCACAAGGCGTGGGCGCGGGTGGTTGGTCATTTCAAAAGCTTGCCCCCCCATCAGCGCTCTAGGTGGGCGAGGGGACCGATGTCCACGGCGATTTTGACTCTTCTTGAACGGGGGTGGGATCCAGTATCACCAGTTTGCTGGATCATGGCCGACGGAACGGAGTGGAGGTTTCCAGAAGCTGGGTATTCGGACATCTCGGCTTTAAACGACACCAAGGTTTTTTCCAGGATGTTAACAGATCGTCGGAGAGGCTCGTGTGGGCTTCTGCTGAGAGGCATTTTTGTGGGGAAGGTCTTGGGAAAGGCATGGATGTTGTATCTCTGCAGCGGCTTCTGAAGCACCTGGAGCAGCTTCCCCGCGGGCGCAGGCTCTCAGAGTTGTTATCGACGGTAGTTGCTGGAGGGTCGTGGCCGAGGCTCCGTCGAGCTGAGGCCTCCACCAAGGTCCAAGTATGTGCGCTGTGTCCTCGTTGCAAAAGACGCAATGAATCACCTTTTCATCGAATATGGGAATGCGATCACAACGTCAATCACCCTATCTATACCAAGTCGGACGAGGTGTATATGCAAGCGGCTTCTCAACATGAGTCTGCTCCAGCGTACTGGCTCCGCGGAGCCATGCCAGCACAGTGGACCGTGGTACCCGAGCCGCCTGATGAGGAGGTCTGGTTCCAGACGGGGCTCAACGATGGTGTTGCTGATGGAGTCTTAGGCCCTGGTGAGTGTGCCAGGCCAGTGCTGCTCTTTGGCGACGCTAGTGGCGGGGCGGATTCATCAGACGGGAGGTTCAGACGTATCGGTCTCGGTCTCGCACAGATGGAAAGTGAAACGGACCTCCAGCTGCAAGTATCCCTCTTTGGAGCTCTCCCAGGTGTTGTCCAGACGGTGCCCAGAGGTGAGCTTTATATCTTCTGGGTAGCCTTGCGGCTGACGGAACAATATGTAACGTATGTGACAGACAACCAGATGGTGCACGAAGGTTGGTGGTCTCAGAAATATCATCATCCAACTGGAGAGCACGCTGAGTTGTGGGCGAAGATAGGCTTGCTGTTTCATAACACGGGACGGCGACCTGAGCATGTGACAGTGTTATTCACGAACTCGCACCTGGAGGCGGAGGATGTCGTGCATCGAACGGGCTCTTCTTGGATGACGGCTGGCAATGCAGCAGCGGACACTTTGGCAGGTGAAGGTGCGACCATAGCTCGTATACCTGAAGCTGTCCGCACCGACATACTGGAAAAGGAGCGCGTGTTGTACCTTATCCGCATGAGGATTCTCAGGTCGCACCTCGACGCCATGGAGGCCGAGAAGACGCTGCAGCCGACCCCGCTGAACGGTCGGCACCCGAGGCGAGGAGCTCGGGGACGGAGGGAAGCGGTGGAGCCCGGTGAGCCTGCTGCTGCTGCTGCTGCTACCGACCCCCCGCGCCCTCCCCCGCTTCCGAGCCAGAATATTCTGTCGGCCTTTGAGACGAGCCATGCTCTGTCGGAGTGTGGTAGGCGCTGTCTGCGGTGCCGAGGGTCCGCGTCGGCTGCGCGCGTCTCGGTTTGGCGTAAGTCTCCGTGTTTCAGGTTAGTTGCCCTTGATAGCTCCCTTCGTGCACTTCCTGAGGGGGCCACCATTCACATTGCTGGGGGGTTTGTGGACCCCTCCCATTGTATGAGGTTTCACGCCGATTTGAAGATTTGGTTTTGTGCGAGTTGTGGGATGTATGGGGACCAGCAGCTTTGCGGCCTTGGGAAGGTTTGCGTCCCCCGCCCCACCGCGACGAGGAGTGAATATCTTCGTTTGATTAGGTTGGGGCAATGGCCCAAAGTCTACAGTAAAGCGGAATTAGCTCGTAAAGCCCTGAAGAGGTGTAGGTGATGAGTGGAAGGACTACGTCCAGGGACTCCAACTCCAACTCCAACTCCTCCTCCTCCTCCTCCTCCTACTCCTCCGCCTCCTCCCGCGCGAGCGACCTTACGCCGCCGCTGACGCGGGCCGCCGGCGTGGTGCATCCCGTGGAGAGAAAGGGGGGCGCCAACGCGCGACCTCACGCGGGAAGCTGGCGCGCCAACGTCCGCGCCCACGGCCCCGCTTTTGGCGGCGCCGCTCGCCTGCTTCGCCCGCCAGAGGTAGGCGGGCAGCGGCATGCCGTCCACCGACCACGCCAGCGACTCCTCGCAGACCACGGCGCCGAGGATCCTCGAGCCGTCGAAGGCCTCGTCCTTCGCCACCCGCGTGCGCAGGCCGGACAGCCACTGCTCGAGCTGCTCCGCCGAGGCCGAGTCCGCCCCGCGGTGCCCGTAGCGCTCCAGGACGTCGGGGACGTGCGCGCCCGTGGGGTCCAGGGCCACGAAGAAGCCGTTCTGGTTGACGAGCTTGTTGCACTGGTCCTCCATCACCCTGTCACGGCCGCGCGCCCGAGCCAGACCCAGCACAGCGGCTGTGCTCCTTTGCTGTCGGTGGTGTCGGCTTCTGGGGGGGGGGGGGGCCCTCGCCAGGCCCTGGGCGGCACAAACGGCTCACCACGAAAAGCTGGTCCCAGGGAGGGAGCCCAGACCTCTGGGGGCACACGCCGTGAAGAAAAAAAGGTTGGAGCCCTGGGCCCGGCCGCACGCACGAGTGACACGGGGCAAAGGGGGACCTTCGGCGCGCGGGCCTCGGGGGGGGGGGGGGGCGGCGGGGGGGGGGCCGCGCCAGAGCGCGCAGGCCTATGCTGTAGGGGGCCCCCCATGGGCCCGCAGTAGAGGCTCGAGGAGGAGACCGACTCGCCCGATTGACCCCAAAGTTGGCTTTTCGTCGAATCGACAAGCGCTGTGTAGAACCAATCGCGGGCCTGCTACGCATTGGCGCTTGGTGAATGCAGCGAACACTTAAAATTCTGGGGTGCATCAGTTCTGCGATCGACCTCCCTACTCGAGAGGCCACTCGGGCGAAGGGCCGATCTTGAATCGGCGACACATCGCCGATGCTCGGCGGCGACGATAGGAGCGAATAGCCCAGGGGCGGGCATTACACGTATTCGCCTGGGAGCCTTTTCGAAGACTTGAATCATCGGCGCACCTGAATACATGTCTTTGGGGGAACCAAAAAGTACCGATACCGCGACTCCCCGGACCTCTCCCGGGGTGCGTTCTGACCAGAATTCCGAGGCGAATCCAGCGGTGGCGACGAGGGCCGCCGAGGGGGCCCAAAAAGGGAAAAAACAGGGAAGGGTAGAGGTATGGGTACCATTTCCTCCTCTGAGTATTGCCCTCCCCTGGGCTATTCGCCCCTATCGTCTATCGTCGCCTCTGAGTGATGGGCCCTCGACTGCCCATCCGCGCGCTGCTGGGGGCAGGGTGGGCCGTGGCGCCCCCACCCGACGCTGGACGGGCGACTCGGGGGCCGCTGCGTCCTCCCCCGAGCGCGTGCCCCTTCGGAGACGCTGCCCCTGCCCAAGGCGCGCGCAGCGCAGCGCTTTGGGCCTCCTCCTCCTCCTCCTCCTCCTCCTCCTCTCCTCCTTCCTCCTCCTCCTCCTCCCCTCCTCCTCCTCCTCCTCCTCCTCCTCTCTGCTCCCCCCTGCCCCTCCTCCTCCTCCTCCTCCTCCTCCTCCTCCTCCTGCTCCTCCTCTCCTCTCCTCCCTCCTCCTCCTCCTCCTCCTCCTCTCCTCCTCCTCCTCTCCTCCTCCCTCCCCTCCTCCTCTCCTCCTCCTCCTCCTCCTCCTCCGCCTCCTCCTCCTCCTCCTCCTCCTCCTCCTCCTCCTCCTCCTCCTCCTCCTCCTCCTCCTCCTCCTCCTCCTCCTCCCTCCTCCTCCCTCCTCCCTCTCGTCCTCCTCGTCCTCGTCCTCCTCCTCCTCCTCCTCCTCCTCCTCCTCCTCCTCCTCCTCCTCCTCCTCCTCCTCCTCCTCCCTCCCTCCCTCCTCCCTCTCGTCCTCCTCGTCCTCCTCCTCGTCCTCCTCGTCCTCGTCTCGTCCTCCTCCTCTCCTCCTCCTCCTCCTCCTCCGCCTCCTCCCCCTCCTCCTCCTCATCCCCCTCCTCCTCCTCTTCCCCTCCCCGTGGGGCGCGCCGAGCCCAAACAGTTGTTCCCGTCGCGGCGCGGCAGACCCAGAAATCCAACGCATTGACAAAAATCAAGACGGAGGTTTCTCGCAAAATTCGGCCGCCGGGCCTCGGGACCATCAGAAATGTATTCAGGATGAAAGACCGGTCCTGGGGAAGGGGTCGAGACTTCCGGGGGCCCCGTATTAAACAAAAATCTCGACGTCGGCGCGCCGCGCAACCCGGGCTACGGCATCGCGAACTGTAGGTGGCCACGTGTGAGCCCCGCCCCCGCCCCCCACGATTTCCAGGGGGGGTGGAGGGTCGGGGTTCACTTCGCTGTCCCCGGAGGTCTCGACCCCTTCCCCAGGACCGGCTTTTCGTCCTGTGTCGTTTCTTGACGGTCCCGAGGCCCGGCGAGGGCCCCTAGGGGCCGAAAATAGCGAAAAACCTCCGTCTTGACTTTTTCAATGCGTTGGATCTCTTGGTGCGGATGCCGCTCCGACCATTCCCTTGGGGCCGCTGTTCCGTCCCGAGCGGCTTGCTGCCAGCCCCGCGGAGCCTGGCGCGAGGACCCCCTGGAAGACGAACGTGGCCCAGAACGTTCCGCAGTGATTTCTGCTCGAGGAGGAGGAGGAGGAGGAGGAGGAGGAGGAGGAGGAGGAGGAGGAGGAGGGGGAGGAGGAGGAGGGGGAGGAGGAGGAGGGGGAGGAGGAGGAGGAGGAGGAGGAGGGAAGGAGGAGGAGGAGGAGGAGGGGCATGTCTGAGAATGACTACCTGTACCAGACCACCCCAACCCGACCCGACCCGAGATCCTAAACTTCCGGTTGGGGGGCCTACGGGCTCCATTTGTGTTCTTGAATGTTCCAGGATCTCCCCACCCCCTGACACTGGGGATGGAGAGCAAGTTGGGGCCTCCCTGTTGGCTTGAGGTGCTTTGGTGGGCAGTGTGGGGAAGGCCTCTCCGGCGAGGCGCTCCTCTTCTCTGACGCCCGCCGGTGAGATCTTTTCAACCCGCGAGTAGGGAGTTGACTGCAGAATTGATGTGCCCCAGACTTGATTTGTTATGGAATCTTCGAAGCAATACGTACAATGTCAATAGATCTGCGAAAGTTAATTGCGCATCTGTTCGCAGAGTCGACGCACATGCCACCCGTGGGGCAGAGAGGTCCCGACCGCTCCCCCAGGGTAGCTCTTTGTGAATCGACTTCATTCCTTTTCTGGTTCATTATTGCTCATTCTGTCCATCCTTTCTTGTCTTCTCTCCTCCGCCCTCCTCCTGCTGTTGCACTGCTGCCGACCGCTGCCGTTTAGGGCCCTTGAGCCGCCTCGAGCGGGAAAAGGAACGCGCCCTTCGCGAGCCCTCCCGGGCAACTCCGCCGAGCTCTCGCGCCGGATGGCTTTCGCGTGAGACATCCTCACTCTTCGCCCCAGATCCCTGCTTGACGGCCCCAGAGCCCGAACGCCCGACTCCGAGGGCCGAGATCGGGGCAAAACGGCCGCACGGGGAACAACAAAAACAGCGTGCACTCGGAGACCTGGCCTTGGGATCATCGCTCGGGCTTCTGGCATCCGTCCGGGAGGCTCCGGGCACCCCCGAGAGGGCAAACGGCGCAGCTGCCGGAGAGCACTTCGAGGCTGCACAGCCTCCGGCCGCCTGCGCACAAAAACTGGGGAGGCTGCGGTCAGGTTCGCGGCGCCGAGATCTGAAGGGGCCCTGGGACACACAAACAAACAGACACAAATGACAGGGCTCCCCTATATTTTCACATATTTTCAGGGTCCTTGTCTTCCCCCCGCACATACTCCCAATCTTTTCCCCATATTGTCTGGGGCATCGACAATTCATTGTGTCTGTTTGTTTTTTTTCCCTCCCGAAGATCGAACCGAACCGCTCCTTAGGCGAGGGCCAACAAGTGTACCGACACCGCGGCTCCACCGGCGGGTAATCCTCCTCCTCCTCCCCCTCCCCCTCCTCCTCCTCCTCCTTCTCCTCCTCCTCCTCCTCCTCCTCCTCCTTCTCCTCCTCCTCCGCCTCCGCCCCCGCCTCCTCCTCTTCCTCCCCCTCCTCCCTCCTCACCCCCTCCTCCTCCTCCTCCTCCTCTCCTCCCCTCCTCCTCCTCCTCCTCCTCCTCCTCCTCCTCCTCTCCTCCTCCTCCTCCTCCTCCTCCTCCTCCTCCTCCTCCTCCTCCTCCTCCTCCTCCTCCTCCTCCTCCTCCTCCTCCTCCGTCTCTGGGGGGGCAACAAGTGCACCGCGGCTCCACGGGCCTCTCCTGCGGGGCGCGCTCTGGCCAGCACGCCGAGGGGGGGAATCTCCGGCCACGGCGACGCGGGCCCTCCAGGACGAGAGCAGCGGCCTCGGCGCCGCTTCCGCCTCGGAGCCCCTGCTCGCGTGGGGCCGGCCTCTGGCGGTCGTGCACGGCCGGAGCCTCGTGCATGACCAGAGCGTCGAGGAGAACCCAGCCGCGGCGACGACGGCCCTCCGGGACGAGCAGCGGCATCGGTGTAGACACGTCGTCCACTCCTGATCGCGCTCGCTTCTGATCGTGCTCGCTGCTGACTGCTCCTGGCCCCCCTAGTGGCCAGGAAGAGGCCCAGGATAGAACGAGTAGGAATGAAAGGATCTTGTCCCCCCCAAAAATCAAAGCACTTACGAAGAACTAGAACTTTCGAAGAATCCGCCGGCCCCCTTGTGGGGCCACCAGGCTGTAGGCGCGGGTTCGCAGTTTCCTGTACCAGTTGTAGCTTGTAGTTTCCAGTGTTACAGTTCTGCTTCTTGCTGGTTACTGTAACTAGTTGATTGACCGCGCGAGGGGGGGGGAGGCCCAAACCAGATATTTAGCACCTCCTGGGCGCGTTGTCTGAATTGCTGGGGGGGCTCGAAATCACACCCCTCACACAGATCGGCGGGGTCAGGGTCCAAAAACACATGGGATTTGCCACATTTCTGAAATTCGGTGCCACCCCTCACGCAGATCCGCGGGGTCAGGGTCCAAAAACACAGGGGATTTGCCACATTTCTGAAATTCGGTGCCACCCCTCACGCAGATCCGCGGGGTCAGGGTCCAAAAACACATGGGATTTGCCACATTTCTGAAATTCGGTGCCACCCCTCACGCAGATCCGCGGGGTCAGGGTCCAAAAACACAAGGGATTTGCCACATTTCTGAAATTCGGTGCCACCCCTCACGCAGATCCGCGGGGTCAGGGTCCAAAAACACAAGGGATTTGCCACATTTCTGAAATTCGGTGCCACCCCTCACGCAGATCCGCGGGGTCAGGGTCCAAAAACACATGGGATTTGCCACATTTCTGAAATTCGGTGCCACCCCTCACGCAGATCCGCGGGGTCAGGGTCCAAAAACACAGGGATTTGCCACATTTCTGAAATTCGGTGCCACCCCTCACGCAGATCCGCGGGGTCAGGGTCCAAAAACACAGGGGATTTGCTACATTTCTGAAATTCGGTGCCACCCCTCACGCAGATCCGCGGGGTCAGGGTCCAAAAACACAGGGATTTGCCACATTTCTGAAATTCGGTGCCACCCCTCACGCAGATCCGCGGGGTCAGGGTCCAAAAACACAGGGGATTTGCCACATTTCTGAAATTCGGTGCCACCCTTCACGCACATCCATCGCAAGGCGTGGTAACCCAAACTGCGAGAACTCCCTCGGCCCTTTAATCGCAAGGTGTGGTAACCAAGCCCGTAAACCATACACGTCTTACCAATCGCCAGGTGTGGTAACCCCTCTTGTGATCAGTTGGTTTTGCTGATTGCGAATCGGCTTCGCATGAAGTTTCGACACTGCTTCACGACAGCGCCGAGGCCTCATGACTTAGCTCTTCCATGGCCCATTCTCCGAGAGAGGGGGCCGGCGGCAGGGGTCGAAGCCCTTACGGATTAGGAATGAAAGGATTTGGGCCCCCAAAAAAATTCGAATAACTCGAAAGGAACAGCGTGCACCTCTTCCTCGCCCGGGGGGCCGGCCTGTGGCGGTCGTGCACGGTCTGCGCCTCGTGCCCGGCGGCCAGGGCGCGCGCGGACAGCGCCCGCTTCGGGCGCGCGACCTCGCGTGGCATCTCTGGGGGACCTCGCCTGCCCTTACTCCAGATCCGCCCTGCTTTGGCTTTTTCCCAACGTAAAATTGCGTCGGACAGCCACCCACAAGAGGCCGAAAAAGTGGGGCGGGAACTCCAAGCCCTACTCACGAATGTCCCCAAGAAGCAGGGCGGATCCGGAGTCCGGGTGCCCCATCGCGCCAGCCATCCGCATCGCATCCCTGTCGAATCCGAGTCGAACCCGTGTCGAACCCGTGTCGATTCCGTGTCCGATTCGCGTCGGATCCGCGCCGAAACCACGCCGGCGCACCAGAGAGAGAGCACCTGCCAGCTGCAGGACTCGGGGGCGTCCAGAAGGGGGGGCTTCCAAGGGGGGGGGTCGCAGATTATGGCCCCTGAGGCGGGCGCGCGGCCCAGGTGGTGCCAGAGGACGCCTTAGAATGAGAAGAGGCGCCATGGCATGCGGGGAGATATCATGGCCCCGGCCATGGCCTCCTCCTCCTCCCCCTCCTCCTCCTCCTCCTCGATCCTCCCTCCCCCTCCTCCTCTTCCTCCTCTTCCTCCTCTTGCTCCTCCTCCTCCTCCTCCTCCTCCTCCTCCTCCTCCTCCTCCTCCTCCTCCCCTCCCCCTCTGGGCAAACCACTGCTTCCCACCGGCTGACCACATGATGTGCAGAGAGATAACCGTGCAAGGTTTTGTGTAGTGCCCCGCACTGCGAACAATCCCTGATACAAACGGCAGCGGAGATAGAGCGCACACTGGTCTGTGGCTCACTCTGACAAAAACACTCCTCTAAAATCTTCAACTGTGGAAGCAACAACGAGAAGTGAAAAGACAGAAACACAGAGACATGTCGTGCTGGGCAGAGCTGTCCACTCATACAGCACACCTCAGCAAAGCTACTGAAGGTTCACTAGCATGCCAACGCCGCCCAAAACCTCTAAAATCCTGGTCAGTGCGTGCTCCATCTGAACCATTCTGGTCTCGAGGGCCTCAAGCCGGGCATCTATCTGAGTGAAATGGTCGGCCTCCTCGAGCCATGACACACGATTGTCCAGGTCGGTGGCAGCATCCTGAAACTGATCCACCACCTGCATCAGGGCCGTGTCGTCCGCATCGGAACTGGCCCTGGCACTGCCCTCGGGGCGCACCTCACTGCTCTCGGTCTTTTCAACGAGGAACGCCAGCCATGCGGCTTGGCTGTAGCCGCTGGACGGGCTCAGGTGAGCCAAGCACCATGAGCAGTAGCCCTGTGCTGTTTCCCAGACCGTCTCAAAACTCTTCCCCTTGTGCTTGCCGAAACCCAACGTGGCGCAGGTCGTGGCTTCGCCTTTCACCTTGAGCCGAGCCTGGTGTAGGCGCTGAGCGAAATCCTCACCGGTAACAGCTGGGGTCTCTGGAAGCTCCTTCTTGACCATGGCGGCTGGGCGACCCTGCGCTGGCAAAGTACGAGTGTCTACACACGCACTCGTCGCCCAACAAAGGGGATACGGATAAATATTGTGGTCTGAGCCCCAAACCAAGGTAGCAGGAGTCGGATCACGCACGTATGGGTAGTACACGTGTGGCACATACACGCACATATTCATGCATTGAAGCCCGGTCCTTGTTCCCAAACGTCAGCACAATCACACAGGATCCCCAGGCATCCTCGTCGATTGTTCCTTTCTTTGGGCCCCGCGTGACCGTCGGTTCTCTCGTTCGCTAGCTTTTAATTCAAGCACATACTTTTCGTCGGCAAGTTGGTACCTATTGGCTCTCATGCAGGCCCGCAAGAGGTCTGCGGGGTCCCCTTTATCCTTGGCGAGGGCGTCAGCTAGTTGTCGGTTTGTCGGGCACCAACGAAAACTCGCGCCACAGCGTTTGAGCGAGTCTTTGATCACCACCACATCGATGGCACATCGTTTGTCTTCTAGGCTGGAGGGGGAGGCGTTTGCTTTCACATGGTCATATAACGATTTGCAGTCTGTCACCACACTTGGTTCCCGCGTACACATACAGTCGTCAATATTATTCACATCGATGGGCCCGTCGAGGGCCTCATACAATAGCAAGGACATCCATTCCTGAGCAGCACAGCATATGGAGGCTGCCTGAGCCTCTCCCGACAATGCACTGGGTACCAATCGTTTGAGTCGAAACGAACGCCACTTGAACGGGGTCCAGGGGGCCTCTTCGCCGAGAGACATGTCGGTAGACGTAAACGCCAGTACATATCCAGCCTGGGTTCCGTCGTTTTTTCGCATTTCCCCAGGCAGCATTCAGGTGTGCGATCATGGTCAGTTGTCCAGGTGGTATCGGCAGGTAAGTAATTGCCAAGTCCGCATATTGCTTGGCCCGACGCACCATCGCAGCACTCTGTGCTAATTCACCCACAGTAGGCTGTGGAAAACAGCTCTGGCAGAAAGACCTGACAGGAAAGATCTGGTCGGGTCTCCTTGCACACCCATCCACCGTCTCCGAAACAGGACCGTTCCTGGGCAATCTCGGTCGCGTTGGCCTTGGCTTTGGGGTCCCGCAATCGTTGTCGGCTAAAACGAACTGGCCGCGTTTTCTCCACGAGCTTGGCCTGGTTCCCCTGGATGGTTTTTGTTTCGGGGTCCTGGGTGTAGTGGGTGCCGCAGAATTCGCCGGTGTGGGTCTGCCATTGGCGAAACGGAAATCGTTCGCGCAGGAGTCGGATAGCCTCGTCATACAAGGCGCCGTGCCCGCCCGTGATGCTGTCATCCACGTGGCACGCCAGCGCACCCACAAGACTACCGTGGTCTCGTAGGAAGTAGAGGCAAGGGTCAAATCTACTGGGGCAGAAGCCAAGTTGTCGTAAACAGCCATCAAATTCCTGAAACCATTCAAACGGTGCGTCATTTTCCCATACAGGTTTCCGGTAACCTCCAGAATCTCCCCCTCAGGATGTCCTGGAACGCCCATGGGTAAAGTCGTGAAAAGCGGTTCCCGTCTCTTGATGTTCTTGGTTTCTGGGAAAGCACAGTGCACATCGCCGAATTACAAATCCCACTGGTGACTCGCCACCATCTGCAAGCATACCGCTCTCCCGAAAGGCGTAATAGTAGGACTCTGTAGCTTCCCCTCTCGAATCAGTTCTGATAGGTCGGGGTCCAGATGCCCCCTGAGGCACCAGCGGGCTTTGATACGGGTAGGTTGGACCTCCTCCTCCTTCTCAGTCATCACACACCGTCCCGGGATAAACCGGGAACTCCACTTGGTCCTCACCTCCTGCTCCTCTCTCTTGGGTACCACCCGCAGACATCCCTTCAGAATCAGATTGTCGACCTCCAGGGCACGGGCCGCCCCGCCTTTGCGGATCAGCTCGCTGGAGGCGCCCACGAGACTGAGTTCCTTCCGACCGCGTCGCGAGATTGCTCCAAAGGTTGGCGCCATCCAGTGGTATTAGTAGCTTCTACCCGGGCAATGTGTTCGATTGCCGCCGTCGTGAGAGCAGCAACATCAGGCCCCTCGGCCTGGCACAGGAGAGCTTCACGCTCGTGGGGCGGGCTCCGTGTAGCCTGTCGGGGCAGCGGCATTGTCTCAACAGCCATGTCCTCGGGTGCTATCAGAGGTAGGAGGTCGTCGTCGTGCGTTTCGTCGTCGAGCATCGTCGAGTCTCGCCCCGCGGTGGTCAGAGAAAGTCGTGGGCCCTGTTGGGCCACGGGCTGCATGACCTCGTCGATAGGTCGTTTCGTAGTCATACGTCGTCGTGGTTGTTGGACAGGCTGTGTTGGTCCTACTGCTGGGGTCATTGGGGACCCGGTCGGAGGCTCGGGAGGCACTGGAGGTCCTGTCATAACGAGACCTCTGGAATCTGTATCAGCATTCGGGGTTTCGGCTGTCTCGGTGGCGGTTTCGACCGGGGTCTCTGTGGCGGGCCTACTGTCATGGAACTCTGGATGGGGCCATGGGGAACTCCTGCTGGGTGAGGTCCAAGAAGTGTAGTTGACCCCCAACGGAGCTCAGTCGTTGTTTCTCATCCTGGAGCACTTGCTCCACAAGTCGGTCGGCTTGTATCTCGCTGGTCGAGGCCGGCCGGAGTTGGGAAGGGTCGGCCCGAATGAGGTGTCCCCGACGGGATAGCCACCAGTTTCGCCCCCGTTGACCGATGAGTATTCCACGTCCATGCCACCTCGCATGGGCCTTCTTCCCCTTCCGCCAGTAGGCCACCTTGTCCCCGGGTTGGAAAGCGCGGGTAACTCGATTTCGGGAAGAGACAGCACGACGGAGATCCTGATCGTCCCGGGCCTGGAGCAGGGCATGCATCGCCTGTTGGCGCATCTCGCGGGATCTGGCACAGGCGGTATCATGCAGTGGGCCAGTCGCGCTCACCACATCGACAGCGTCCTGGAGCAAATCCCCAGGGAGTCGGGGTTCCTGGCCCAACACATGTTGATAAGGGGAATAGCCGTCCACCCGCAGCATGCGCTGCTTGGCATCAGTCGTCGCATCGACACACCCGGCCCACTCCTCATAATTCTGAGGTTGAGCCGTTTCCAATAGTTTCTTGAAAATCCGCTTCGACCATCCCCCGTGTGATACTTTTTTCCGTTTTGCCATTGCCCCTCCCCCGCTACCGGCACAATCTCGGTCTGTTCGAGCTCCAGTGGGTCCGTAAAGGCGGCCCCAATGTTGGCCTTCCCTGCATCCACCACAATGCGCTCGGCTGGACCGGCCCAACGTTTCCAGAACTGTCGGTGGGCTTCCCGCATCGTCCCGGAGTTTCCTCCCTGCAACAGTGGCGCCATCACCTGGAAGGACGACGCGTCGTCCACAATATTAAGTGCGGGAACCGTGTGTGTAGGTCCCTTCCAGCCTGGAATGTTTACCCCGTCGATCCCTACCTGTTTGTTGAACTCCGAGATCCGATGTCCCGAGACGGTCCCAGATGGTTTCGGCATCTTGTTTTCATCGCAGATATCACACCGAAAACTTCGTGTCAGCCGAATGGCTTCATCGTGCCCCCCGCCGTGTCGTAGGATTCGGACCATCTCCTGAGGGGCCGCGTGGCCCAGGTTAACGTGTAGCTTCTGGAGGGCATTTCGGATGTTCTGGGCATTTGCGATTGGGGAAGGAGAGTTGGGCTGGCCCTGTCCGGCCTCGGGATCCTCCAGGTCCGCGGCCAAGCAGCGCTGAGACAGCTCGGCCTCTAACAGCTGCAGACCCCCGCGTTGCGAGACCTCGCGTAGGCTGGCCCCCAGAGGCAGAAGCGACAGCCCCTGCTCAAAACTCAGAGGAGCATCCACACATGCGGCCCAGAACTGTGCGAGGTCGTCGGTGCCGCGCAAGATTGCTTCGCAAAAGTCCGTCGTATATAAACCTGCCCATTTACTCCTGGAAACACCGTTCGACTTCCCTTAGATAGTCACATGATCGTGGTTCCCGGGACACCGTTTGCCCAGACACTGGGCCAGTCGTTGAGACGAAACCAGCAAACGAGTTTGTTTCTTCATAAAATTGAGGCCCCCGGGTTCTCGTAGACCGCGGGCGCACATATCGGTCGATACCTCCAACATCCGTTCCCGTAAACGCTGCATCTCGGGCATTTTCCACGCAATCGATCGCACGGGGTGTTCAAACACGGCATCGTATCCGCGATCGAGTTGTGTATGCATCTCGCATATGCAGTACCGTATATGCGCACGTGCCTCTCGTACCATACGCATATGTTCCGTCATGCTGTGCAGTCGTGCATTCACCGTCGCAAAACCGCCGCGCCAGGTACAGGGGGGGGCATGCCACCAGCACACGGGATCGAAACCGTTTCAGCTCGTTGGTGATCTTATGTTGAACCGTCCGGTCGGAAATATCGTAACCCGTCAGTAAATCGCAACTACGCCCCGTTCCACGGTCGGTCTCTTCGGCCCGCTTCAGTACACGAGGTGGGGAAAACAGTTCCGAAACCCGCCATTGTACTTTCTCATGGGAAATACCCAGAGCCTCCCGAAGATGTTCCTGCAACTGACGTCGGATTTTGCGTTTCAGCGCCGAGGCCCCGGGCTCCTCCAGGTTCTCCGTGGCCCCGGGGATCACCTGACTCATCTCCACCTCTATATTGGTATCCTTCGGGATTTCCTCCTCCGTGTCCTCCGTGGCATTCTCCTTCTCCTCCTCTACCGAGCCCTTCAAATTCTCCGGCTCCGCCGTGAGCTCCCTCGGCAATAGCGGCTCGTTGCTGGCCGCCACCGTGTAGACGTCCGCGATGTCTGCGACCACTGGCATGATATAGTTTCCGGACTCGGTCTCCTCGAGGTCCACCGTGGTCCCCAGTGCGTCGAACGAGATCCGATTTGTCGCGAAATCCATACGGCCCTGGAGGGCCTTCAGCAGCGGCTTACTCAGCAGGAGCGGAACGTCTCCCCGTACCACCGCGGCTATGATGTAGCCCTGCACTTGGCCGATCTCGACAGGGATCTTGACCGCCAGATTCGACTCCTCTCGACCATTGCTTCCGAACCTGAACACGTTCATCTCCTCGTAGAACTCCAAGCGCCGACCTCTGGACTCCAACAGAGACTTCAACTTCGCCAGCGGGTCCTCCCCGACGAGTGTCCTACCACAGCCAGGATCCACCACACCTTTGCCCGTCGGGCATGCGAAGAGGATCTCCATCGGGTTACCCTGGCCCGGCTCCGCCACAGCACGGCGAGCCCGCATCTGCTGCAGCACGGTGGCCAGGCTGGCATCATGCGCTCCGGCTCCTTCCAGGACCACGAACGCTGCCCCCGCCGCCGCCGAAGGTTTGCCACGCTTGCCGAAGCCCTTGCCCTTCTTCTTCGGGCACTCTCGGGACCAGTGGCCAATCTGCTTGCAAGCGTGGCACCGGGTCTTCCGCTTGGCCTCCTCGAGCTCGCGGCGGAAAGTGATCTGCAGCTTGTCTGCTTTCTGGAAATTCCGCGTCTTGCGGGCGTCGTTGATATCCTGGCGTTTCTCCTTCCACGTTGCCGCCAGCACTTCGACCAACTCAGCCTCCTCGAAGATCTCGTCGGGCACTGCCGCCTCCAGAGACCCCTCGGCCAGAAGGGCATCGACGTCCGCGAAGTCATCCTCCTGGACCGCCTCCGTCTCATACTGCCACGGCAGCAGAGAGGGAGGAAAACCGTCTTCATCATCCTCTGCTTGGTCAGCCAGGAACGCGCCCGCCTCGGCACGTCGCTGCTTCGGCACCTTGTAAGTGGGAAACACAGCTCGAATCGCCACTTCCATGGCGTCCGCCGTGTACTTCACCGCCTTCGCCTTCACGATGGCCCGCTGGTCAGGCGTGAGCCCGCACCGATGCAACAGGATCCAAGCCTGGGCCTCCGTCGGAAATTGCACGTTGGCTTTAACACCACACTTCTGAAACACCTGATTCGCCCGGCCCAGCCAGGCCGCAACGGGTTCTCCTTCCCGTCCCTGGAGCGCGAACACCGCCTCCAGGTGCTCGCCGAGGATATCCTCCTGTTCTTTTGCCGGCCAGCGCTTCAACAAGAGGTCTAATAGGATCTGTTCACCGTCCTCCACTTCATAGTCCTCAACTCAAACTCAAGGTGGTGCAATCTCCAGCGCTGAGCCCTGCAGCAGTGTGTAGACGAAAGGCCCCTTCTGCGTGGACTCGAGCTTTCGGCATGCCATCGCCGAACGCACCCACTTGATCCACTTGCGCAGCTCCTGATTGCTGCTCTGACCGCCATCTCCGTTGAAGTACCGAAGCCCCTTCGGTTCCGTGGACTCTGTCGTCATGTTGTGGTCTGTCGTCTGCCGGCGCCTCCCGGCAGGAGCTGGGCGTCCCTCTTAGGACGCTGGAGCAACCTGCTCCACTACCGATGGGAAAACCACTGCTTCCCACTGGCTGACCACATGATGTGCAGAGAGATAACCGTGCAAGGTTTTGTCTAGTGCCCCGCACTGCGAACAATCCTTGATACAAACGGCAGCGGAGATAGACCGCACATGAACAAGGCAAGACACTGACGACAGTACACTGGTCTGTGGCTCACGCTGACAAAAACACCCTCCTCCTCCCCCTCCTCCTCCTCCTCCTCCTCCTCCTCCACCCCCTTCTAGTCATCACACCCCTCCTGGACGCCCGAAGGATAGGAAAGGTCCCCCGAAGCTGCAGAGCTCGAGTAGGAGATCGACTCCATGGCCGATTCGCCCCAAAGTGAAGTACCCGTTGAGTCTGCAAACAAATGCGCAGACTGCTCGCATGTCAACGGAACTCCAACGCACCTTCTCGAAGGTTCCACAAAACCAACAAATAGGGCGCAAATCAAATCTGCAGTCGATCCTCAACTCGAAAAGGAAGCGACCGCGTCCGCGTCTGGCAGCGGCGGCTCCTCGCTGTCCGACTCGCCTGGCGCCGGCCCGCCCGCGGCGGGCTCGGGCTCCGGGCCCTCCTGCGCGCGGCGGCAGTGCTCCAAGCATGGGGCCCGAGCTTTCTGACGACGTGGGCGAGCGACGGAAAGCAGCGGGGCTTGCGCGCGACACCGCAGCGACCTTACTACAGAGGCCCCCGAAAATGGGGTCGGAGGGGATGGGGTCGGAGGATCGCGCCGCATCGCCGATACATCGCCGATGCATCGGCGATGCGGCGCGATCCTCCGATCCCATCCAGGAGGCTTAAACTTCCGCAGCGGCTTGCGCGCACCGCCAGCGCGGCACGCTGCATCGGAGACTGGGGCGCTCACGCGCGACCTTGCGCGGGCAGCTTGCGCGCCAGCGTCGGTGAAGACGGGCTCGTTTCTCTGCGTCGCTCATATATATATATATATATATATATATATATATATTCATTTATTTATTTATATCTATATATATGATTTGTTCAGTCCGGGCGTATTTCCTCACCCTCGGGGGTTGCTAGGAGTACCCTTGGCCCAAGGTGCCCCCCAGGAGTTCCCAAGGCCCCCGCGGCCTCCCGAGAACCCCTCACGCGGCTCAGAGGGCCCCAGGGGCTCCACAGTGGAGCGGGAAGCAGGGGGCACCTCGGGCCGGGGGCACCTGTGGCACCCCCCGACGCCAGGGGACCAAAGCGCAAACATGGATCCAGGACGAAGAACTGCATCCGGGCAATGGGTCGGGATCTCGGGGGCCGCCCGTCAGCGGTGCTCGAGGCCCTGAACCCCCACCTCCTCGCGTCGTGGCAAAACTCTCTCCTGGAGGTCTCCGGCCGTCTCTTCGGCCTGGCCCCGGGGCCGTCCCAAGCTACTCGGGATGTCCCAAGGGCGAGTGGCCTCGAGCTGCGCCACCGTTCTCACAGTCATCGTGCTGCGCACCACAAGGAGCACTGAGTGATTAACGGAGGGGCCCTTCTCAGAAGAACCCTCTTCTCGGAAAATCCACTTTTCCAAAAAACAATTCGAAATTGAAACCTAAATAATCCCAGACATCCAGCTGCTCCAATTTTTTTGGTGCGTGGACCCCGGAGGTCTGGACCACTTCCCCGGTACCGTTTTTTTGCCCTGAGTCGTTTTTTGACGCTCCCGAGGCCGAAAACTGCCAAAATCCCGCCGCTCCATTTTTTTGGAGCGATGGATCTCAGCGATTCCATGTTCACAGATTTTCAGGACCCCAGGAGGAGGAGGAGGAGGAGGAGGAGGAGGAGGAGGAGGAGGAGCAGGAGGAGGAGGAGGAGGAGGAGGAGGAGGGAGAACCCTACGTGAGGCTCACGCCAGAGCACGGGCCGCTCACGTCGTGAGCGGCCCGTGCTCTGGCGCCTTGGCCTGAGATCCGTCCCCAGGCATCGGGCGCCTCGAAAACATCGAGGCGCAGGTTTCTCGTCGTTTTGGGCCTCTCGGGGCCCTCGCCGGGCCTCGGGACCTTCAGAAAACGACTCGGGATGAAACACCGGTCCCGGGGAAGTGGTCGGGAGGCCGGGAGCCCGCGTCGCGGAAAAATCGGGACGTCGGACCTCTGGGTTGGGCAGGGGACCGTCCCGGCATTCCTACAGGCCCACCACGGCATGTCCTCCGAGCCCGAAAATGCTCGAATCACAACAACCAGGTTCTTAGAGCATGAGCCCGATGTGTTAGAACAAGGCAGTCCCAGCAAGAAACGTTCTAAGAGCATTTCGTGCAAACCACAAAAGCTTCTTAGAACATTCCCGAAAGGCGAGCCATGACGCTTCGCCACTGCTCGAATCTCGCAAGCCCAGAGGTTGACACCAACACCAAGATCGGCGGTATGCCTCCACCGAGGGAAGAAGATCCCCATCTCGGCGATGGTGGTAATATTCTGGCTTCCAAGGTGACCGAAATATTACCACCAACACCGAAATCTAGGATCATCGTCCCCCTGTGGAGGCAACCCCCTGCGCTGGTGTTGGTGCCCATTTCCAGGCCTCCAAGAATCCGACGTCGCGAAAAAGTCGGAGCATCACGAATCATCGCGATCGGAGCACTATAGACCCCCTCTTTCCGCTGCACGTTTCAAGCCGGATCGACCTGCGATGGCCCCGGGGCCCGCGCGAATCTGCGACCACGCACGGGGCGAAGACAAGTTGCAAGGCCTAGCTCTCGAGGTGCCTTGAGCGCCTCGACTGCGTGGCCCCGCCCCTCGCGGCCACGTCTTCGAGCCGCCGGCGGGGCCTCCAGAAGCCCCGCCACCCTTCCCAAGGGCCGGCTTTTCGTCCGGGGCCGTGCTTTGACAATCCTATGGGGCCCGCCGAGGACCCGGGGTCCGGAAACAGTGACAAACCTCCGTCCCAGACGTCCGCCGATCTGTCTTTGTTCCGACCCGCGGCCGCATGACCCTGAGATCCGACGTTGCGAAACAATTGCAACATCGCGAAAGCCGCCACCAGAGCCCGACCCCATCTTCCTGCGCCAGTTCTCGACCTGGATCGATGTGTGAGGATCCTGGGGCCCTAAATCGAGCGAAGACGCCCGGCGTGAGCAAAAATGCCACGCTGGGATCTCAGGGTCCGCCGGTATGTTTCTTTCGATCCTCGGCCGCACGGGGCCCCCATCCCTCACGGCCCCATCTCTCGAGTGGGGGATCGAGTAAAGAATTGATTTACTCCAGACCTAGCATGTTCGGAGATTCGCCAGCTATTCTGCGCATTCTTCGTACTTGTGGCGTCCGCAACCCAGAGCGCGGTGCAATCCAAAGTGCGTGACACGCCTCTGGGAGACGCTTGCGGGGATGCTGGACATGATGCCTCGGGAGCTTGCAAGCCCGAAAAAGAAAGCTTCGCAGGAGCGCCCAAGGAGCTTCTCAGGAGCTGCGGAAAGGCTTCCGGCACGCGCATACGAACGAGTAGGAGAACGCTTGCTCGAACACGCTGCCAATTCAGGCAGGTCGCTGCGGGGACTCTTCACTGGCGCCGGAAAGAGCTGCTGGGCCACCCAGTGCTGCCGGCTTCTACTCTCTGGGGGGGCACAAAGGTAGGGTTGGGTCAAGGGTGGGGTTGGAAGGAAAATCGCTCCGAACGGCCCCTGGAAGAAGGAATTACATTAAACGGGAGAATCCAGCTGGACCCGTTCCCAAGCCCCACCTTGGGATAACCCATGAACCCCCGATGTTCTGAAACCCTCAGAGAGCTATCTGGGAAGACTCGACGGCAAAACATCAGTTTTAGGGTAAATCCATGTTATAGTCGATCCCCCTGAGATCCGACGTAGTGTTTTTTTTCAATGCGCGGTCCCCAGAAGTCTCGTCTCGACCCATTCCCCAGGACCAGTTTTCCGTCCTGAACAGTTTTCTGACGGTCCCACGGCCCCGCGAGGGCCCGTTGGGGCCGTTGGATCTCTTGGTACGGATCACCCCCCAGCCGCTCCGACCATTCCCTTGGGGCCGCTGTTCCGTCCCGAGCGGCTTGCTGCCAGCCCCGCGGAGCCTGGCGCGAGGGCCCCCTGGAAGCCGAGCGTGGCCTCCTCCTCCTCCTCCTCCTCCTCCTCCTCCTCCTCCTCCTCCTGGCCCCTGCTCGAATCTTCGAGCCGCCGGCTCCTCCGCCTGCAGGGCCTCCGGCGAGGTGCCCCCCGAGCCCGGCCGCAAGGGCGGGGCCGCCAGGGCGCCGCCGGGCTCGCCCGCCAGAGCGACGGTGTCCTTCGCCAGCGGCGGCGAGCCCTCCTCCTCCTGCTCCTCCTCCTCCTCCTCCTCCTCCTCCTCTCCTCCTGCTCCTCCTCCTCCTCCTCCTCCCCCTCCTCCCCCTCCTCCTCCTCCTCCTCCTCCTCCTCCTCCTCCTCCTCCTCCTCCTCCGCCCGCCAGAGCGACGGTGTCCTTCGCTAGCGGCGGCGAGCCCAAGCCACCCTGAGATCCACCCATCGAGTGGGGGATCGACTACAGAATTAAATTGCCCCAGAATTGAACTTTCGCAGATCTACGAACGGTTGACGTGTTTTTGTTGAAGAGTCGATGTGAAAATCAATTTTGGGGTAAATGAATTCTGTAGTCGATCCCCCGGTCGGACCCAGAGATCCAACGCATTGAAAAAATCAAGACGGTGGTTTTTCTCAAATTTCGTCCCCAAGGGGCCCTCGCCGGGCCTCGGAAAACAACTCAGGATGACAAACCGGTCCTGGGGAATTGGTCGAGACTTCTGGGGACCCCGTAAAAAAAAAAAAAAAAAAAAAAAAAAAAAAAAAAAAAAAAAAAAAAAAAAAAACGACATCGGATCTCTGGACATCGCTCCAAACAAATTGGAGCGGCGGGATTTTGGCAGTTTTCGGCCTCCGAAAACCCTCGCCGGGCCTCGGGAGCGTCAAGAAACGACTAAGAGCGAAAAACCGGTCCCAGGGAAGTGGTCCGGACCTCCGGGGTCCACGCACCAAAAAAATTGGAGCAGCTGGATGTCTGGGCAAACAGGATCGCGTCGTGAGGAAAAATCGGGGCGGACGGTTTTCGCAGTCTTGGGCCCTCGCCGGGCCCTGGGAGCGTCCAAAAATGACTCGGAACTAAAAGATGGGTCCTGGGGGAAAGGGTCGGGACTTCTGGGGACAGCGTATTGAAAAAATCAAGGTCGCACATGCCTTCGACGGCTCTCGGCGGTTTGCCAGCCTCGAGATGCGTTCCAGCGGCTGCGCCTCGCCGAAGGCGTGCCCGGGCTGCCCGGATCGTCCCGAGCGGCCGTGCCAGCGAAGATTCGATAATTAGAACTCGATGCCCCGAAAACCAGACGACGCGGATCTTTGAGGGGACAGGCCTTCTCAGAAGGCAGCAGGAAGCCCCCCGGCCTCCTGAGAGGCCGCCTGCGTTTTCGGAGAAGGCCCCGGACACTCCTCGGGAGGCCGAAGGCCATTCTGAGCCTCTTGAGAATGCCCGCCGCGTCCCTGAGAGCCGACGCTGCGCTGGAGCCCTGGACTCCCCCCCACCTCTCCGCGCCACTCTGTGCCCAGGCGAAAACGCCCAGCCCGATCAAACCGAGACGCCAGGGTCCCAGGGCTTTGCCTCGGTCGTCTGATGGCCTGTGGGCCATAATGCGGGATGACGATTGATAAAAAATGGGAGAGAACGATTCAAAACATAGTTTCCTGCTATTGCTGCACACGTTTCGGACTGGAGGAGAACGATTAAAAAATAAATTTCCAGCCCGCGGCCGGTTTTTTCTGATCGTCATCCCCGGCGCCGCCGCGTGAACATGACCCCCGGTCAGTTCTTAATCGCCGTCCTCCATTACCTCGGCTCTCCGGCGGCCGTCCGGCACGAGCCGGGCACCCCCGCGGGAGGCTCTCGGCGAGGCGCAGGCGCTGGGAAGCACCCCGAGGCTGGCACGCCGCCGGGAGCCGACAACCTCGAGCCTCGAGCCTCCTCGTCCTTCCCCCCTGGGCTCGCCGCCGAGTCCTCCTCCATGGAGACCTGCCGGCCCCACTTGTCGGGCTTGGTGTCGCCGCGCGTGCGCACGTCATCCTCGGGCCGCTCCCCCAAGCCCCGACGTGTCTTTTGTTTGCAGCCGGGGCGTGCTTCCTGGATCGCAGTTCGGCTTGCCTGCCTGCAGGCGCGCTTGCGCTCGCCGGCGCTGCGGACAAAAATGTCATGCATGTTCGCCCTCGGGGAGCCGTCGGGTTTTCCTCGATTTCGACCCTCGGCGGCCGTGATCGGGCCCCCGGGCCGCCAAGGGGAATCCCTGACTCCGGATCCGCCCTACTTTGGGGAAACTCGTAAGTAGGGCTTGGAATTTCCGCCTTACTTTTCAAGCCCCGCTGATGCCAATTTCCGCCCTACTTTTTTGTTGCTGTTTCCGCCCTGCTTCTGTGGATGTCCGCCCTATTCTATGTTGGGTGCAGAAACTTCCGCCCTACTTGTTCGGCTTCTTCTAGGTGGATTTCCGACGCAATTTTAAGTTGGAAAGGAAGCCAAAGTAATCAGGGCGGATCTGGAGCCAGGGAAGGGGAAGGGATCGTGAGCTTTCTGGGGTGGCGGTTTGAAGAAGTCATGCCGAGGAGATCTGACGGGTGTGCGCCTCAGAGGGGGGGGGGGGGGGGGGGGCTCGAGGCGCGGGCCCCTGGTAGGCGGCCAAGAGGGTGCCCCCAGACCCCCCCCCATCCAGGAGGGGGGGGGCAGGTTGAGGCGGGGCCTGCTCTTGGGGGCCACGGCAGATGAGCAACCAAAAAACATCACCCCCGTCCCCACGACGGGGGGGGCCGAGCGGGGGTGAGGCATACTCTCCGCGCCGCGTCTGCGAAGCACCCTCGCCGTCGGTTCTTGGAGCTCCCTGGCCCGGCCCTGCACTGATTCCCCTGGGGCCCGAGGCGACCCGAGGAGGAGCAGGAGCAGGAGCAGGAGGAGGAGGAGAAGGAGGAGGAGGAGGAGGAGGAGGAGGAGGAGGGAGGAGGGGAGGAGGAGGAGGAGAGGGAGGGAGGAGGGAGGGAGGGAGGGAGGGAGGGAGGGAGGGAGGGAGGGAGGGAGGGAGGGAGGGGAGGGGAGGAGAGGAGGAGGAGGAGGGAGGAGGAGGAGGAGGAGGAGGAGAGAGGAGTAGGAGGAGGAGGGGAGGAGGAGGAGGCAGGAGGAGGAGGAGGAGGAGGAGGAGGAGGGGGGACGAGGAGGAGGAGGAGGGGGAGAAGAGGAGGCGGAGGAGGAGGAGGAGGAGGCGGCAGAGAAGCAGGAAGGAGAGGTGGAGGGAAAGGAGGAGGAGGAGAGGAGGCTGGACTCGACCCAAAAGGGTCCTGCACACGAATTCGACCCAGGGACCCCCCAAGCCTCCCAGACTCAGCCCCAGCCAGGCATTGCCGCGCCAGGGACCACGCTGGAAAGGTCGAGGGGATCCTCGGGGCACGGGCCCTGCGGGCTTGGGCCTCTGCCCTGGCCTCCAGGGCTCTGGACCCCAACAGCTGGGCCTCTGCCAGCTGGAGCCCGAACGAAGACAAGACCTCCAGGACGCTGGGCCTCTTAGCGCCAGCCCTTAGGGTACCTGTTTGGGCAACCACAGGAGGCTCGAGGGGAAAATGCCCAGACCAAAAATTGATCTCGGACTCCTCAGGCGACCGCAAGCTCCCTAGAAGCCTGTTCCCTTTGGGGTGCTGGGAGGAGGAGGAGGAGGAGGAGGAGGAGGAGG